AACATGGTCTCTTTTAGGGGTCAAAAAAAAAACTCGGGCCACGCCCAGATCGGTCTCCTTTAGGGGTTTAATCAAAATTTCCGACGAGCATCCCCTTTCATGTGTGGACTCCCCGCCCCCCACCTCCTGGGCTTTTGCTATACTTTTGAATGAAGTCAATATCACTAATTGAGAAGCTTAAGTGCTGTACATCACAAGTTGTTGAAATGAAATTCTGCAGAGTCTAAAAATTTAAAGGTAATTTGGTAATTGCTTTCTCTCCTTCGATTGTGCGACTTTGGTGTACAAGCAAAAGGAAATGATAACAAATTCAGCGATTGTTACAATATCATAGAGAGTGGACACAAAGTATGGAGAGCTTATAGTTCACACTGTAAATTAACGAGTCAGTGCATGAGAACGGAAAAAAGTCGTGCAAACTTCAATGCGCTAATGTCCGTCGTTACTACTGTGGGAATAGACGAGAGTTTTGTATTTAACACGCCTTAAAAATTAGTCTCGGAATTTGTTGCCAATGACGTTTCTATGGGTCAGTACACACGATCAAAAAGAAGACACTGATATCAACGTTTGATTCATTGCCTTAGCCTGTATTGCTGTAGGCTGCCTCACAAACGAAACTAAACTCTTGTTAACCGAGGTTTAATTACGTCTGCAACGCAGGCTAGCATTGCTAGGGCATAAGAAATTAAGGGAGAAGATTAAAGAGGCGGCGTTGCTCTCTCTCCTTATGCCGGCGTGTCTCGGATGGTCTCATAAACACACTGCTGTGGACATGGCCTAATAAAAAGTAGCCTAGAGTGGCGTGAATGTTTCTTAATTAAAAGATGATAGAACTGTTCACACGAGTAGACATCTCATGGTTTTCAGGAGGAAAAATGCCCGGCAGACTTAATCGTGCAGCTTTAACAAGATAATTATAGATCGGGGAATTGAATCAGGTTACGACCTGCAATGGTTAGCTAGAGAAGAACTGAACAGGAATCAGTGATATCACGCAACAGATTGAGCAGGAATTTGTAGTTAAATTAATCGATCTATCAGTGGATCTCGTCGATGCCACTAGAACCTAAAGCTACGTGCATGCAAACGGACGCAACAACGCCCAACATTGCTGGGCCAACGATGTTAGGAGTGAGTTGTTACATCCTGTTGGCATTGATGTGCAGACGGATGTAACAGCTCCCATTAATGATGGGAGCTGCAGTGTATCTTGGGAAGGATACAACCCTTAAGACTTTGGAAACCATGTGTAATGAGCGTGCCTGGCTTTAAAAAAATGTTGGAAAGAGTTTTGCAAAAGGACGCAACATGCAACATCCAACAATGTTGGCAGTCGTGGGCCAAAGATGTTGGGTCCATTTGCACGGCGCTAAAGCTGCTGTCAATATAGGGATACGTTATCTGGCCAAACTGATTGTTATTAACTTACCCTACCACTGAGAATAAAACAAAGATAGCACAGTTTCTTTTCCCACTTTTGGTACTTAATGTCGTTACAAATGGCGGTTCAAGTGCTCTGTGATCAGTGAGGAAAATAAAATTGGGCAGTTGTGGAGACAATAACTGTATTCACTTTCGATGGCAAGAAAATGTGAGGCTATCTATGAAATTCTGACTCCAACTATTACAGTCTGTAGGTGCGTATTGAAACCGGTAGCTGTCCTTGCTGCCAAACACCCCTCGGTCTCCATTTTGGGTGCGAAGTTAAAAGACAATACCCTGGCTCCAGATGTCCGTTCTCAAAATACCTAAGATGAAATGAACCGAGCTCACGGTTTCATAGGGCTCGCGCCTCGTTGATGCGGCTTCGTCGAGAACCATCAGTCGGATCGATGAGAAAAAATATCCTTTGGAACCCAGAGTAAAAAGACAGCTAATACTGGCACTCAATTTTTAGGTTTCTGTTTTTTTTCTAATGTTCACGCCGTAATGGGCATTTTAAAAGATGCTCAGGCTGGTTAGCTATAAGCACAGAGAGTAGGATTTTACTCGAACAAACTGTAACGTTTACTTTTATTTGCACTAACTTTTACTTCAAGAGACAAATTAGGTGAGTTTACTCCTACTCCGCACATGTACTTAATATAATACTAATCCAATTTATAAAATACAATTACTGCAAAAATCCTAAGGAACTGTTAAATGTTGATGCAAGTCTATCATGTGTCACAAAAGTCACGACCATCTGAGGAAAAGATACCCCCTTAATAGCGCCCCGAAATTAATAACTTCCCTTTATCTTTTTTATTACTCGTAACAAGAAACTAAGCGAAAACCATGGACAGAAGTTATGAAAGTTATCAACGGTTTGGTTCTGAAACATCGACGGCACTGGCGCGATTAATTAACTACATGTTTTACGATAACAAAGTCACGCTTAATTTAGTTCTCACTAGAAAATAAAAAACATCCAGATTCTAACTGCAAAACGGGTCACGTGACTGATTGGAATATATCCCTAAAGGAACTAGAGATTAAAAGAGCAATGAAAAGGGGGGTCTACCAAATTTAAGGTTGTAACTGCGATTTTATAGTTATATCAAGAACGGAGAAAATGTAATATGAATAATGTGAAAAAAAATCAGAATTTTTCCGACATACAAACCCTGATAATCTTGCCGGCAGTCGACACCCATCTTACGTTAAGGGCCTCAAAACTGGTTTCAGGCTACTTTTCTAATGCTCTTCTCATCTCTGATGCTGTTTACTTTTTGCTTCCCGCCATTTTTGCATTAACCAGGTCATGTACGTCTCATGTGCCAAGAACCAATTCGATACCAGCGATACTAATGTATTACTTTCTCTAAATAGTTAACATTTTGTAGTCCCTAAATAAGTAAGCCTTAAAACCTGATAATTTGTAAAGAGGCAGAGTGTGTTGCACTGGTATTTTGAAAAAAGAATAACGTTAAAGGTAAAAATGTCGACGGGAAAAGTGCTTCTAGTACTGAACAACTTGTCATTTCGTAAGAGTCAGTCTTTTGTAAAAGCTGACTTTTATGTTTCTTTCGTGATCGCCAATTGAACTAATTTTAAGCTATTTTTTTCTCACGCAAAGAAATACAAATATTAAAATAGAATGAAAAAAAAGCATTGAGATTCAGCTTTTACAATTAAACAATACCAAAAAAAAACCTCAATGGTGTTTCTAAATGTTACACAAGATCGAAAGTTACAAAGCTACAAAAACAAACACGCAGCAAAATGCTTCAAAGTCAATAAGACAATAAACAATGCTTTTGACTAGATACTTTAAAAATATCGTAGAAAAATTATTGAGTAAGTAATTAATAAGGCTTGCCAAAGATTATGTCGAATAATCTTCGATCGCGAGTGGCACCACAATCTTCTGATACACAATCCTATACTGAACCTCTTCTTAATTTGAGCCTCCTAGAAGTTGGAAACTGGAATGGCTTCTCAAAAGTAGCTTGATCATTAGCCTACAGAACATGACAGAAAAAAAAGGGAAAATTAAAATTTAGCCAACTAACCTAATTTCTTCATCACTTTATAAGATTAGTGGGACATACACTGTAGAGTACTTTTTGGTATTCCCTCTCTCTCTCTTTTCTTTTTGCAGGGAATAGTTTTATTTCGTTTATCGTCTCGCCCCTCTTTCTTTTTCGGTGTAAACTAAGTTTGGTTCTCAGCTCTTACGGTTTTTCGCTTGCCTGTTCCTTCCTGCAAAACTCGTGAAATTCTCAATTATCATCTCGCCAAAGGGAATGCCACTCCAAATAAAATTACACTTGTTTCAGATCCCCAGTATCAAAAGTGGCTCCAAGATTGTCTTTACATGTAACCTCACGATGGCGTTTTTACTGCTACAACCAGCACAAATTTAAACCAAGAGTTTGTGCCACATGAATTTTAAAGCCTGAAACTGAAATGTTGCACGACACTAAATTTTCAGACGGAAGGGCAACGAATTTGGACAACATTTATCGACGTGTAAAGGTATCGGAATGGTATAATTGGTATTGCTATCCCAATTTTAATCTCCGTTATTTAATCTCAAACTGAAAGTGAGGTTCTTGAGTAAAGGCATTAAACGACTGAACGAATCCCTTTTTCCTATCAAGATTTGGGAGGAGCTAGTTCTTACTCGGTCGTAGCGCAATGTCCTAACTTTTCTAACTTTGTCCTAACTTGCGGCCGAGCGGTCACCGCGTCGGACTCGCTAGCCGGCGGTCCCGGGTTCGAGTCCTGCTCTGGCCAATTGCTGGATTTGTTCTCTGTCGTCCAATTTTAAATCCTCGGCCATGCTTTTAATAGCCAACTGGTTGCCTCCTGCCAGTTGAGGTTTTCAATCCTGTTATGTTGTGTTTGAAATACCGTAAAATTCCGAAAATAAGCCCTGGGGCTTGTATTTTTCGAAGGCCCTTTTTGAGGGGCTTATTTTTGGAGGGGCTTACATTCGGAGGGGCTTATCTACGGAGGGAAATTTGCGTTTCAAAACCGATTGGGTTAGCCTCATAGTTGGAAGTAAATTTACCGTTTTTGATTTGTTTTACTTTGTATTTGAGAGCAATGTTCCAAGTACAAGCCCCCAGGGGGCTTATATTTGGAGGGGCGATTTAACGGAGGGTTTTTTGCGTTACCAGTTTGGGGGGCTTATATTTGGAGGGGCTTATACATGGAGGGGCTTATTTTCGGAATTTTACGGTATTTGTTTTTAAGTATTTGACTAGTTTTTGTACACTAGCTGCACTTTCCACTATAAAGAAGCCTGTAACCTTTTAAACCTTCAAAATGAAATCAGTGGCAGTATCGTTAAGCCCCACCTTAATTCAGTTTCACTCGAACTCTCTCCAGAATCTTTGTCGCTATTCTAAAGGCTTCCTCTGCATGCACTGCTGTGTATACGTCATGGGGTATGTTGGGGTATGACATAGTATCAGGATAACGCATGTGGACTGAATTAATCACAAGACGTTCAAGCTGGGTTGCTAAATCTTTTAACTCAGCATCTGATTCATCAAAACCACGACAATTCAGTACCAACAGTACCAAATTGTGGTCATCTGTTTACTAAAACAGTTTACCATGGTTAGCTCTGTGACGTAAGTACAGAGCTAAAACGGCCATTCTGTATAATTCTATAATTTAAGTTTGGACTAAACGAAACAAATTTCACGATTTCAATTTTAATTGCAAGCAATAGAAAAAACAAAGCCTAAAACAAATATTAGCTAGATCCCTTTATCCCTAAACAAGTCTTCTACCAATTCTAACAAAGTGCAATTTAGGAACAGAAATATATCAACATACGACCAAGTGTTGAACAATATGCACTTAGCTACAGAACACTAATTTAAGCCGGTTCGGGGAAATGAAGATCAGCAAGTTAAATGAATTTCTTTTAATTACACTTATCTGTAGTTCTCATTATGAAAACAACAACAACAACAAAAACAACAGATGCAGCTCCTGAAAGCGAGTAAGAGGTGTCAGAATATTTTCCTGTAATCTGCTGTGAAAAGCCTGCTTGTTCAACTTTCACTTTCGTTGAAATCCGTAGCGAAGCTTTCTTCAACCCAAAAACCAAATAGACAAACAGAATAACAGAAGAATCTTGATAATATTTCATTTTGTGGCGTCAGTGGAATAACACCAATAATTGAAAATTTGAAATGTTTAAAAGATTTTTCCTGTAGTTCGCCTTAAGAGTCTCCAAAAAGTGTCACAAACGCAGCCATCTATGAATACCTGTACGACATTTTCTTCCACAAAAAAACAAATATTAAAAAATTCTGCTTCGAAAAACAGAAAAGAAACTTCACAGCAGTTGTATTTCATTTTTAGGCGGCAAAACAAGAACAGAATAATTTTGACCGGGTTTGGGGGGAGTGAAAGTGGGGGAAGACTAGGTTGTTCCTGTAGTGTGACCAAAAGAGTTGCCAAGCAAAAAGTACAGCCTTAGAAATTTCTCTCTGAAAATTTTGTCGTAAATCGAACACTTCAATCTAGATTTTTACTTGGGCAACTCCCTTGGTTGCCCATCAAATGGTTAATTTTGCACCAAAACGAAACGCAACGTCAGTGTCTTGGACTCCCTTCCTTAGTCTACTGAAGTTTGTTTTACCCCTACCCCCAAAGAGTGTACTGGAGGACAGGCGGATGTGCGCTGACGTCGTTTCCCAATTTTTTGCGCGTCGATAGGTTTCCATTTTTTTTCCGCTCTAAATAAATGTATTTTATACTATTTACCTGGTGGCATTTAAAGCAAAGCCACTCAAATGAGTCAGTCGTGAATGCTCTCTCTCTACTGCAAGACTCAAGGTCAGCGTCAGCTTGTCTCAACCAACGCTTGGCCTCTTCTGGCTGAGGATTTTTTCTGTTTATCCTAGGGATAATTGGGAGAATATTATCATAGGAAATATCATCAGGTGGAGGTGGCCACGGTCCATGGTCAACAAGATAGTCTTCTTGATAAATGTCCCGCTGTGAATCAAGTTGTTTTGCACGCTCTTCCAATAAAACAAACAAGTCATCGTTACAGCCACCGAGCCGAGAAACTTCATTCTTTAAATGCTGTAAAGCCACCATGAGCGAGTCCTTGCTGTTAGTATTCCCTCTTGGTAACCAACGCATGAATAGACGCTTGACAATTTGGGTTTTCTCGTCCTCAGGCATTTCCCATGCGATCTGGAGGAAGTCTGAGATCTCTTTAAGCATTTCTGCCATATCGTCGTCCTGCTCCTCAAATATCTCTCGCAAACAGTGGAATTTATACAGCTTAGTAGCACTGACCTCAACTGGTTCTTTTTCGTGTTCAATGTTGATTTGGTATTCCTTTTTCAAGATAACAGTATCTTCACTGGTAACCTCCTGAACTACTATAGCGTTAATGTATTTTGGAATGCCTTTCCGCAGGACTAGAATAGGGTCGTGTAGCTGATAACCAACGTACTCTCCGGGTTCCAATTCTTCAAAAGCGTCTTTTAGCAGATGGTGGTCTTCAGTTGGAATCCATGTACCGGGCTCTGGATAGATATCCAAATCTGCTGTGGTGTAGCTGTCATCTTTACGAACTTTTATTCTGTCCAACAGTGGCCATATACCCGAAGGCGGGCAACGGAGCATCTCACCAATGAGATTTGCCTTGTTTTGAAGAAATTCTCCATACATTTCCCCAATTATGTCCGATATGATTGAAACGGCATCTTTCACCCCAGACAGCGTATCGATGTAAACTTTACTTTTCCCCAATGCAGACAGCTCCGGCTTGTCTACGAAGAAAGGCACATCAGCTTCACTTTCTGGAATCTGAACTTCATAAAGAAAAAGGGAGGTCCTGAGACCTTCCACAGCAAACATCTCGATGCTTCGAAGACTTTCCTCAATGCCTTTTAAGACACGTACGTCAAAATCTTTTCTCTGATGGTTAACGTGTTTTATAATTCTTGCAACTCCACGAGCAAAGGGGATGGAAGATATTTTTACTTTCATCGTGTTAACAGCACCGTTTGCGACAATTTTCGTTTTTTCGGGCTCGCAAAGTTTTTCCTTTACCACACTAGATAACATCCTTGGCTGTACTTCTGGAGGTAATTTCACCATCAAATCTGTAAAGTTAATCATGGCTGATTTACGACTTACTTTCAGTAGACTAAGTTCTAGTACAAATGGCTGCTCAAGACCTTTTATCCTATAACCATAGGTTGGGGCATCATCAAACAACAGCTCCGTCGATAAACGTAAAGTAACAGGAATGGTGGTTATCTTGAGGCGCTCGTTCGAAAGGCAAAATTCTGAAGGCATTGCTGGTAGGTACAATTTGGAGAGAGTTGGTACGGATCCTGGGTCATCTTGCAAAGTTCTGAAGAATCCTCTGACGGCCATCGAACACTTTGTAAGATCATTTGGGTTCAGTTTAGAACCTTTGCATTTCTCATGCATCATCTCCAATACCACAGCGTAATCTCTACAGGTTACAGTCTTTGAACAGCCTACAAACTCAAACAAAGTCTGGAACTTTCCGAATACAGCAGGAATTCTGTAAAGAAACGGTTTAAGCTCGAAACGCTCATAAAGCTCGATGACAGCTTGTCTAGGCAGAATGAACTTTTTTCCTTCTTCAACAGCGATAAAACGCATGGTTTTGAGTACCCTCCTGGCCTCTTGATCGTTAATGGCGTTTGCCTGTAGAAATTCATAAATACTTCCCATGACCCTCAATACTGTTGAGCACTGGTCAGTTGCGATATTTTTTCGCGTGCTGACAGTTTGGCAGTGACTAATAACAAGAGCAACAGGTGGCTTAATCTGAATACCAAGCTGCTCGAGAAATACCTTCATGTACTGATCAACATTTCGATGACGACAGTCACTTGAAAGCTCAAAACCATGAAACCTTGGATCTGCCGACGTTGGAAGCAAATGTGCTTTCGTCCATATGATTTCTGCGTGCTCGTTGACAACGGAATCTTTGAATGCAATGAATGGAATTTCGCCTCCTTGTCTTATTCCAAATGGTACGCATAGCTCTTGTAGTGATTTTTCAACAGGTCTTGCAGCCACGAAGGGAATCTCAGACACAAGATCTAGAAGACCTTCACCAACCACATTTGGTCGAGAAAAAAGGTGTTGCAACAAAACTGCGGATTTTTTGTAGGTGTTTTCTGTTCGTTGTGTTTTAGCTTCAAGTGCCACTTGGTTAGCAAACTTTAAAAAATCTTTTCCTGAAACGTCTTTAGTGAGGCCTATCTTCTCCAAAATGACAGCCACTCTTCAGAGTTAAATTGCCCTGGTGGAAAACTGTCTTCTGGTAACAAGGCATCAAATACTTCATTGCAGGGGTCATAGAAACTGGATGCTGTCTTCAAGGAGCCGTCCACAGCTGGAATGAGTTCAATTCGTTTCAAATAGTCTACCATTTGCCTTTTTTCAAGCTCTTCACTTTTGTTCCCTTTTGCACTAACTGAAGACACAAAGCCCTGAAGATATCGAAGGTGAGCCAGCTTTCCCTCAAAACTAAACTGCTGAAAGCATGTCAGAATGAAATTTCGGTAAACATTTGATAGCGATACTGGCTCAAATTCTAGGAATTCATACAAGGCTGACAGACTTTCGCGAGATTCTACAAAAAAACAGTCAAGTCTGGATTCAACAACATTGATCCCGTCGTTAGGGATGTCACCAGGGAGAACAAAGACGTTCCTATCTTGAACTTTTCCTAGCCTTCCACCCGCCATTGGAAAGAAAGGAAGCTTCCTTAGAGTTTCTTTGTCGTCGCATAACAGAGACTTGGTGTTGCGGCTTAAGTAATTAAGAACCTCCATAGCTTCTTCGTCCTCTAGTTTTCCATCAAGGGTGGAAGGATTAGCCTTCAGCTTCTGATGGAGCGCTGTGAGAAGGGAATGGGGTGTCTTAAGTGTCGCTACAAGATTGCGCGCTAAATTATACGATTCTAGTTTGGTGTAGCAATTTGTACCGAGGCGGACAGTTGACAGTATAACTGAATCAAGCTCTGGCAACCCCAAACATTTTAAGGCCTCCACCAACTTCTCGCTGGATTGACCACAATCTTTAAAGTCAATAACTGATTTTCCCATTTTCAAAGGCACCAAAAATTGTTCTGTAACTAGTTTTGGGTTACTAGAACGCGCCTGGGTTGCTGGAAGGATGCAACACATAGTCAATGGCATGAGCAGGTCACGAACAAAGAAAGGTTTCTTTTCCTCACTGAAATCCTTCTTTTCTTCCTCTCCTAAGTCTTTAAGTTTTTCGCTGACGAAATTTTCGAGGAACTGCCAAACCCTGTAAATCCAACGACGATTCGGCAGAGCCGTGGACTTTGAATTATCTTCAGGAAACCATCTCACGTACTGATCCTCGCTGCCAAAACATTCAGGAAGAGTTATGTGCAATTGAGAGGAGAAGGTTTCTAAATCCAAAGGTCGAAAAACGGGGGTCTTTTTTAAATCGGCCATGTGAAAAACGTCACTTAGAAACTCTTTGTGTACAAACAAGCCGGGAGATTGTGGTAAAATATCGCAATAGCGACACAAACACAAGGGATCGCTCCCACTAAAGACGCGTAAGTAGTTGTCCTGTGTGAGAAGCAATGGAAGACCCTCGAGATTCTTCAGAAACTGGTCATCGTCTTTGCAGTACTTTAGAATGCGAATAACTCCTTTCACGTCTTTGAATGAACTCCTTTCAATGGGGCATGGAACGTCACCAATACTGCAAAGCGGATTACTATCATTGAACGATTTGTAAAAGTCCATCACAGCCAAAGGAGAGACGCAGCACACCTCTACTNTACTTTAGAATGCGAATAACTCCTTTCACGTCTTTGAATGAACTCCTTTCAATGGGGCATGGAACGTCACCAATACTGCAAAGCGGATTACTATCATTGAACGATTTGTAAAAGTCCATCACAGCCAAAGGAGAGACGCAGCACACCTCTACTCCTGCCTCCATGAATGAATCAAATACGTCAAGTGATAATGCCACCAAGTTAAAACAGTTTCCAACAACATTTCTTCGAACTGGTTCTTTCGTCTAATGCGACTTTCTTCCCTCTTTTTTCTTTCTTTCTCATCCGTATTGAATCTTGGTGGAACGGGAGCAAAGCAACCCTTTATGTCGAGATTGTTGAAGTATGTTTGGTTCTTGCCTGTGTCCTGCGGCGCGAACCATGTGACTTGGACCCCATTGGATCCTTTGATACTCTTAGTACCGGCTCCTGAACTTTGCTTCGAGCATTTCACCACCGGAATAAGGTGCATTTCGTTTTTGCTCATTCCCTGGTAGACGGAATCAGCTAATGACTTCCAGCATGAATCTTCCAAGGGATACCGCGGAAATAATGCTTCATAGTAAGTTAACCTCTCTGTGACTTCACTTTTGCTAAAGATGGAATTCTGACCAGCTGCATCCTGCCCAACTGGCAGCTGAATGTATCCTCTTACCTTGTCCAGGAGGGTGAGGTAGCAGGAGGTAATAACATCACGTAGCAAGGCGTTATTCCAGTCACTTCGATAGCCAGCAGCTTCATCCTGCCACAAATTTCTTCTGGCCTCATGGTCCAGTGCAAAGTGGCCATTGATATGAATAGGTAAATTGGTCCGAAATGGCAGTGGAAGAAAGCAGTACGCTTTGCCATCGGGTTTCACTGCAGGCCTGCTGTTGTTTAAAAGGTAAGCCACTCCACCTCGAGGAAGCATACCCAGCTGTTCTTCTTTGAAAGCATGAGCAATACTTTCTTCCACTGGTTTCTTAAAGCCAACCTGCTGTACAATCAGCCAAGTCTGTTCCTTTTGAAGGCTGTCACGAAGCTTCATACTATAAACACACTTTTTCACCTTTATGCTTGTGGGAAGAAAATCTTTTTGTTTCGCTTGCTTTCCAATCTGTTTCATGTAATTAGCAAAAGATTGTCTTTTCCTCTGGTCTTTCTTGGTCATAACAACTTCAACGGAGTAGGTGTCAACCAGTTTGCCACTTCTGTCTACGGCGGCAATGCTAATCTTCCTCACATTGTTTACGAAGAGGAGAACTTCAAACAACTCCATTTTTAGACCTTCCATCATTCTGTCAAGCTGCTGCACGGTGACGGGTGTTCGTGATATTTTGGATTCTTCGGCCATTTCCTGGGACTTCAGTGGGAAGCGAAACATGGTTGCATTTTGTATAGGAAAAAGGTCCTCTAGGTAGCAACGAAATACATCTGGAAACTTACTCTTTAACTCGTCGATCTTCGTGTACATTCTACCGGGTTTTTCATCGGTAGGACGAGCAACGTACTTGCAATGAGGATCAAACACGCAAAGAACATCTCCAATTTCTTTACCCTTCGACCTGAATGATGGAACATCAGTTAGGTGATACACAGCATTAAAGCCAATGCCATACTGACCAGTCTTGTTTGGATCTCCCCCCTTGGTACCCTTGCCAAGGTTACAAATTCCCTCAATATCTGCATTGGTAAACGGTCTATTATTGTACACACAAAGTGCAGGACCTTGCAGGGCTTTCCAGCTCTCTTTGAGCACCCTCTCTTCAGGATGGTTTCTAGGATCTATAATGAAGCAAATCTCAGTTGCTTGACCGTCGTCTGCATTTTGAAGAAGCTCTTTTAAAATTTCTTTCTCACCTGGATAACCTGTCAAAATCCGTTTTAATCGATCAGTGAGCTCTTCTTTTTGCCCAAAAGGAAAACCAACATCGTGATGTTGCAGAGCTCCTTCTCTGCGAGTTTTAACCCCCAGTTTCTTACAGGTTGACCAGGGAATCTTCTCATGGACAAACAGCTCCTCTGGATCATCAGGCATCCACGGACATTCCTTGTAGCACAGATCAGCTACTGCAAACATTCTGCGTCTGGAATCAGGAAGAAAAACCAAACCACAGCCCTCTTGTCCGTTGTCCAGGTCATCCTTAGACTCTTCAGATGTCTCTCCGAGTTGAATCACCATGTTCACAACTACCTGTAATGTTCGTTCGTCAAGTGGGTTTTCACCGAACTGTCCCCTTATTTCTCGAAGGCTTGAAATGAAGTCGTTTGGTTCAAACTGCTTCCTGACACCACAAAATTTCAGGAGTTTGCCAAAAGAATCGGATAAATAATCTGGAACTTGGGTAAGGTACGGGGAACAGTCCGTTTTCACCTCAAATGCGACAAGATTTGCAGGGAGAAAGCGCCTTTCCACTAGAATAAATCGCTTCGTAGATAGAAAATCCTTGACAAAGGGGGTACAGTTGGCAAAATTTTCTTGTAGAAAAGAATAAGCTTCTGTGCAAACGCGGCTGACTTCTTCATAAGTGTTAGTATCCATCTTATTTAGGTCAGTAGAAATAGCTTCTTCAAGTTGTTTGACAACGTGCTGTGTCGTAACGTATTTGTCATGTAACTTGAGGAGCTCTGCCACTTTACTGGGGACGTCCAGATCGACAAGTAGCTCCGTGCAACACACAAGGGACCTCTTATCCTGAAGAAAGATATCCTTTGGTGCTGCCAGGAGCCTTTGAAATCCTCGATATTCCTCGCTCTTCCAGGGGAGGGGGAATGACGGTGGTTTTTCCAGAACTGGAAGGAACTCGGCTTTGCAAATGCGAGACACAATTGCATCCGACGGGTATTTAGCTTTTCGCTTCAGTTTCATTTTAATGAACTTTAGCAAAACCTTGGAACGCTTGACTGCCGCTTTACTGTCAACTGCATTAACGTGCTGGACACTCTCTGCTCTTTCTGCAACGTCTTTCCAGGGTAGATCGTTTGACTTCATCCCAAGATTCTCTAGTTTGGTTAGCACTTGAGGTTGACAAAATGTACTTCCCTCACCATAGGGAAACCTACCATCAGCTGGGAGAAACAAGGAGGAAGCTTCTTTCTCGGGATTAACTAACTGATTCGGCCGCTTTAGTTCCTTTCCGCCAGGCGACACTGGAACGCAGGCGTTGTTCATTATTAAGTCTTCAAACTCATTGCTGTTTTGATTTAAGGCATGTAACACAAGAACATTCCTAAGTTCCGGATCAACTCTTGATAAGTTTGGAAAGAAAACATCTTGGAAAAATCGAAACTTGTCGTACGTTTTACTTTTGATGACATTGAGCAAACCACAGCACTCAAACGACTGGAACACTTCGGGTGGTAAGTCAATCACCACGTCATTTCCTTTTGTAAAGTTACGAAACACAGCAAATGAAACTTCTCCAATTTCAGGATCCATGCGAAGGCCTGGATGGAGAAAAACCGCTTGAGTAATGTCAACCCATTTTCTTCCATTGGAGAACAGAGCATGGGTTCCATTAGCAATTTGCTTGTAGAACGACTTTGTAATAGACCGGAATTGTTCTGTTACGTCAAAAGCCTTTGGCCACAGTGAATGGAAAACATAAGATCCGTCTCCAGGGAGAATTTTCTTAAGATCCTCAAGGAGGCACAAATAAGCAGTAGATATGGAATCAGTCATTAGAACATTATTCCATTCCTCGCCATAGCATCTCTTGTCGTCTTCAAGTTTACCTTGCAAACAACGCCTATTGGAATCCACTGCAAACGCACCATTTATAAACACAGGCAGGCCACTGTGAATTGGGAGAGGAAGATAGCAGAAAACCGTTCCATTTTCTTTCGGTTTGGGCAAAAAGGTGTTAAATTCTGTAAACAGCAACTGAACAGCTATTCCCCCGGACGGAAGAAGACTAGGGTCACTTTTTGCGAACTCCAGTGACTCTCCATTCCCCATTGAGGACACGATTAACCATCGTTCAACCTCTCGATTAGGACGCTCGCTTATCTCAAAGAAACTAGCACCGACCTTAGTGAAAACGCATTCCAAATCAACCGCAATGGACGATTCTGGAAATTCATTTGGTTTGACTTTCCTAATCTTGGAGTTCTTTTTAACCTTGGATGATGCTTGGAGAAAATTAGACTGCACCAACAACTTCTTCTGCTCTGCTCCCAGTTTCTGCGCAGTGTCTGGTAGTGTGATGGGGAAGGACAATTCTCTCAGTATTCCTCCTTGGGCGAGTGATTTGTTAACCTGAAACATTAGCAACGGTTGTAGATTCTGGTCTGAAGATTTCGGTAAAAAGTACAGTCCAACGCGGAATACGTTTTGCGTAAAAAGAAGCAACGAGTTTGTTTTCACGAGGAACATGCTCAACAGTTTCCGCATTTCGTGGTCGTCGTAACACTTGTCTCTGATCTCACTAACTGCTGCTTGTTCTCTTGTCCTCAAAGGAAATCTGAACAGCGTACCATCGTATGAGTTGTCTTCTTTCCGAAGTGTTAAATCACAGCCAAAAACACTATTGAATGGTTTAAACTGATTTTTAAAGGTCTGCAGCTTCTTGACACCTTTGTTGAGATCAATCCTGATACCAGGCTTTGCTTTGTTTTTGATGATAGTCTTCAGGTGCGATGTGTTAGGATCAAGAATTACAAAATAGTTCTTACTTACAAACATCGGCACATCTGTAAGGTTGTACACTGAATTGAAGCCAAGTCCAAACTTACCGATCTTTTCAGTGTCATGCACTTTGGTTGCTTCGTTTAGCTTTGTGATATTAACAAAGTCTTCATCTTTGAATGTCGCGTCGTTGTAGACCCACAAGGCAGGACCTTGACACTTCTTCATTCCGTCGTCTATGAGAAACGTCATAGCATCCTCGTTCGTCCTTTCATCGTAAAGAAATCTAACGTCAGTCGCACCAGCATCATCTGCATTTTGCACGAGCTCTTTCAGCACAGCAAGTCCGTCTTTGTAGTCTTCTAGAAGTCGACTCAATCGAGTAGTAAGCTTCTCCTCCTGTCCAAACTCTTCTCCTATGAAGAGCTCATCAGGGTCTAACATTCGATGTGTTAGAGATGGCACACCCAGACGTTCAACAGTGATGCTCGGGACACTCCAATGTACGTAATGGTAATTTTGCTCTTCGTCCTGGCCAGCATCGTACAGCCATTCTTTTTCTCCAGTGTACATGCAGCGCTCAACTGGTTCAAGCCGGACGTAAGAATTGTCATGGACACGGACAGGCAGAAGGATTTTTTCTTGCTGCTCTGGCGATAATTGGTCACATGCCAATTCATTTAAAATGTCAACTGCTAAATGGAGATCATGTCTTACTTCACAGGGGCTAAATCTGGAACTGCAATCGCTATACTTCACTTTTATTAAGCCAAGCACTTGCAGCAGAAGAGATGGATCACTTTCTGTCCTCATGCCAAAAAGTGTAAACAACTTTGAGTGTTTTAGCACCTCCGAGGGAAGAACGCGAACGTAGGGTGTAAGGTCAATGGGTGGCTTCATGGCAATCACGTGGCTAGGAAAAGAAAAGCCGTCTCCATTCCACACCCATTCGAAATGGGAAGATTCCAATGCCCCACTGACTTCATAATAGTCTGAACTGCTCAGAAACGAATAGACTTCGTTCACCAA